CGTGTGTGCCTGTGCATGCATGTGAGTGTGTGCGTGGCTATGCGGGTGCCCAAGAGAAGAATCCTGTCTTTGATCATGCTCTGTTGCCTTGTTCCTTCATCTGAAGCTGCTTTTCTCCTGACTTCACCTTGTTTCCTCCCTGAGACATCCTCAATTAATCTCAGTCTTGTTGCCCTCACTTCTGTCATTGAATCTGATCATTTTCATTCCCATTTATCTTAGTTCATTCACATATACATAACTGTCTTGATACTGTTTATCGGCACCTCTTCTAGCCTCCAGGGTGTTATTAGTGGCATACTCTATTGAATCGTCAGTTCTTTTCTGTCAGGAGTAATCTAATTGGTTTTCTTCGGAGTGAGTTGCAGTACTATTTGGTAACAACAGGAGGCAGTGTAACCCGTTTATTATGTGGTTGATTTCCAACATCCTTTATTTGATTCTGGATTTGTTGAACATATGGTATTATTTTACAACCATAATATACATTCCATCACAAGGTTATTATCTATTCAATCAACTTCAGTTTTGAGTAAGTTTTCCCACTTCCTCTAGCAGGTTCAAAAGTACTTCTTCAGGTTAAACCTTTTGGACTTGAATCTTATTGGCTTCTCTTCACTTTTACAGTATTTGATGTGATTGTAAATGTCTTAGTTCCAGTTTCTGCACCCGGCTAAAATCTCTACTGTAGGTGCACCATTGCTTCTGTTTTTTCTGTCCAGCTGTCTGTCTCTTTAACACAGGTCAGTTATGAACTTGTCTGTGTAGATAAAATATATACAAAACAGCATTATTTGCTTTTACAAGCTCATGAAAAACATTTCATTAACTGTTAAATGATGGAATATGGAAATCTAACTTTAACCTGAATGATAAGATTAGGCGCATCAGTGGATAATCCATATAAGTACACAATATGGATTTGACTTTGTTTCATAATTTCACTTGAGTCAAATAATTAGCTATAAGTCATAAGCTGATTTTTATGTCTGAATGTTATTTGCTGTTCTTTGTTAAAACCAATATGCTGTCACTGCCTTCAAACACGGTCACACAGGGAATTGCCATCATATCATATCACCCACTTGTCCTCTTGTGGTTTATAAACATGTCCGTCTGCTCCCAGGCCATCTGCTCTCACTACATCTACTACACTCACTACTATTCTTCATAAAACCACTATAATAGTTAAGCCCCTGGAGGCACAAAGCCACAACATTGGGACAACTAACAGAGTGTGATTTATTTTTCATTCATGCTCATTTCCATAAAGAGCTTAAGATTCCCTTCGTTTCTCACACATCAGCGTCTGTTTTGGTCTTTGATTTTTTTGCTCCCTGCCGTCTTTGAAGTTCAGAGATATTAGTATTAAGCTGTAATTACATGGCATGATCTCAGCTTTAGCCTAGTAGGTCATCTCTAATATATCCGATTAGGTAAATGACTTCTCACTATACAGGCATGTGGAGTGAAATACTGTTTTTTATGTCAACTATGCTCTTTGAGGGGCTTTATATTATGTTATGAAGAAAATATTGTAGTAAATATTTCGAAGTAGTGCATATTTCTTTGCAATGGTTCTAGTATTTGACATTTTGTTTTGACTATCGCAATACAACTTGTCTTTTTGATTAAGTCAACTAAGGCTTTAGGTTAAGCTAAAAAAATGTCAGGTTCTATGTGTAAAAAAACCCAAAAAACTGATGTCATCCTTGCATTCACGCTTTGAGCAGCTGTTGTTTTTTGTTTGGTATCTCCCATGTGAGGTCACCTTAAATATGACAGCCCCTTTTTGACCCTGTGTGATCTCCTTACGCTACACCTCATCAGATGGACCCTCTGTTCATGATCACTCAACTTTACAGACAATTTCATTATGCAAATGAATGTTCCAAGGTGAACAGTTCTGCATGTGCTCTTTACTAATTTGCCGCTATCAACTTGAAGCAGTTTTGACCTTTATGAATATTTAGATAAAATGTTCTTGTTATAGTGCAGGAGATGTGTTGTTAGCTTGTGTGGAAATGCCAGAAACATTAACACTGTAGTCTCGTTATATACAAGGTTGCATTCACCAAAATACTTTAATTAGAAGTAATACAATGTCTTTCACACGTATAATATTTTCTTTTGTAGTGAAATGAATGTTAAGTTATTCAGGATGACACCCACAATGAAGACATGAATCCACACTCACATTTTAATGCTGCTGCTTTGGTTAAACACAATCCAAATGAGTGGTTGCAGTTTCTCAGCACTTGTCATCAAATGCTGGTTTAAACTTTGATGTTAGTGGTTGTTTGTGTTGCTAGAATTCCCTCGCTCTATCCACCCACTGGTTCCACACCTCCCTCCCTCCAGCCTTCTGTACGGCCTACAGCTCAGCAAAGAGAGAGAGCTTTGGAACGATGCTTGGTACTGTTCGATGTCAGAGTTCCCCTCATGCCCACAGAAGCTATACTCATATACACGCAAACGCCCACATACAACGCTCATGTGCAAGGAAACAAAAATGGAGGCTGCCTGATATCCTTGGCCTATTTAGAGAACTGTGCATTACTGCATGAGACAGGAAAAATCTTCTGTAAGTGATGATCAGAGTGAAAGGCAGATCTGTGGAGAGGCATCCAGCAATAGATACTTACACAATTAAATTGATTAGCACCCTACCTGCTGATTAGAAATCAGCCACGTGCCAGGCACACAGTTCTGAACCTGCCTTAATAAATATATCCCTGTGCACAGTATATTAAGTGCAATATTTATCCTTTTGATGCCTGATACTGTGGAAAAAATTAGTCCATGGCTACAATCCAGAGAGGTGTGTTCATTGCCATGCACCAAATAAACCAATAAATACAAAATAAACATGCAACACAATAAAATGGCCTTCGAATGCCAATCAAACTGATGGTGCATCATTGTATTTAGAGGTTACCATTTGCACCTTTTAAGATTAGTATTTAGAAGAATGATTGTCACTATTATTTCATATTCTATTGTCTACATTCTTTAAACATTAAACTTTGAAAAGCTTCACGTGAAAATTATTGCGTCTCAAATGCATTCAATTAAAGAGTCAAGTTTCCATGGGAACGAGCCCATCAATTATTCAATTTCCTAATCCATATTGGGAATTCTGTGCACTAATGGAGTCAGGAAGCACAGGGAAAAAAGTGGAGCAAGTTTTTTAAATTAGGTCAGCGTTTACTACTGTCTGTCTCCTGCATGATTGTCACTCTACACCACTAAAACTACTTTCTCCGGAACAGGCCGGGGAGCTCTTTTCACCATGGAGTGAATATTATCCCTATTTATATCTGGCTGTGAAGCACTTAATGACTTTTAATCTTAATTAAGATGATTAATGGAAATAGCTGGAATTGAGTGCCCAGAGATGGGCAGAAGAATAACTTGAATTCTTATTGAAAATTAAGTAAACTGGTTCTTTTCAGCCACCTGGGGTTATTGAAGTCGTAACTTAAAAGATACTTTTGTTTCCTTTATTGAGAGACTTCATTAACCCATACAATAAGAAGCAATGTCCCTATGTTTGTGCATATCTTAATTATACACACGATTATTGATCCACAAGAGAATTTGAGCTCAGACGCTCACACATTACAGAACAAAGCAAAACATTTGTGAAAACTGTTGTTGTGTCCTCAGGCAAGACACTTAAACCTCCTTGCCCTCGGGTCTACGTACACTGGTGGTGTGTGAACATGTTTGTTAATGGTTCTTTGATGTAAATCGCTTTGACTGCCTTGAAAGTTAGAAAAGCACTATACAAATGTGAGCATTATGAATTTAAAGTACAATTGATAAGGAAAAGATCATAATACAGTTCTTTTTTTTTTTTACCAGTACAGAGATGGGGATTGGCATAATGACACATGTTAAGCGTCTTTGAGTGTCCAAAAAAGCGCTATATAAAACCAATGCATTATTATTATTATTATTGGGAACTACAGTGCACAGGCGTGAGTGGTGGCTTTGACGTAAATGGATTATGGCTATATTGTCTCGAGTGCTGCTTCTGTCTGTGAATAAAATGATTATAATTGATTCTCCTGGTTCCATCCCTAAAGCTGACGTGTGTATGATTTTAATCTGGAATGAACAATGCACTCCATTGTCAAAATCTCCACTTTGTAAATTATTACCAGATGTAAATGTAATGAAATCTAATTTTAGTGGTTGCTATTTGAAAAGTGCCTTTAACCTCACACGCACAGTAGTAGTTGTAGGTTTTGTTTTCAATCTTTTTCAGTTAATACAATCTTATTGATGAAAATATATAGTTCTTTCCATAGCAAACTGTTTTCTGAAATATGTGGGTTTATTCTTTTGAAGTTGTTGGTTTCTTTTGAAACAAGTATTGTAAATCTAACCACAATGTTTTTGTAGTGCTTCTTATTGAGCAGCTGTTGCTCTTGTGTCTGTAGAACAGTAGCGTAACACAAGTCATGTTTTAGTGTGTGTGTGTGTGTGTGTGTTCTTGTTCTTTCTCTGTTCTTCGCATGTGTGTGTGTGATATTCAGTCTGAAGGTCATACTTCATGCCCTGCTGAATCTGCTGTGAATGAATCCTCAAATCTGATTGGCTGGTTCTATTTTGAGACTTTTCTAACCAAATCCGCTGTTCTTTTTTACCCCATCTGTGCTTCTGGTCCCTCCCTCGTCCTCCTTTCTCTCTCCTCTTGTACTGTTATTTTCTGTGATTGCTACATTTGTTTCCTCCCACTCCGCATGCAGACAAGGCTCGTCTTTGCCCCCTTTCATCCGTTCCTTCTGCTCTTTCTCTCCTCCTCCTCCTCCTGCCTTGCGCACTTTCCTTCATCCTCGTGCTTCTTTCCACACACACACTTCACTTTACACATTATCGAAGCATAATTTCTCCCTGCTCTGTGGGAATGGAACTCACTCCTTTATTTTTAAGAATCTCTTTTGTAATTTTTCCGTGATTCTAAAGCTGGGTTCAATATGTTTTATTTCCAGCTCGTCATCATGGCAGGCACCGTGCTGTTGGCGTACTACTTTGAATACACCGACACCTTCCCGGTGCACGTTCAGGGGTTTTTCTGTTTTGACAAATCCTACTCGAAGCCATACCCCGGACCAGAAGACAACAGCAAAGCCCCCCCGGTCTTGGTCTACTCCCTGGTTACTGCGATACCCACTGTGACGGTAAGTCCAAACTTCACATCCACAGGTGCCCGTTGTATCGCAGCATAACGCAGCTCCTTTTCATGCAGAGTTGCCTTTTTACAAGTAAAACGACATGATTGCTCGGTGGGCTTGAACTGTGTCATGAGATGTGTAGGTGTACATCCTCGTGGTTTTGCTGTTTGTGTGGATGTGGCGTAACCATGGTGACGGACACTATATTTGTCCTCGGTTAGAGCAGCCGTCGCAGATAGCGAGATAGAGTTTGCCTCAATTCAACTGAGGCTATTTTCACATGTAAACTGTGAGTGCCATTGGCAACTGTAATCAGCTTGCGTTGGTGATCTCATGTTTTTGTTTGTTTATGACTATTCTTTTGAGAAACATTTGATTGATTGATTCATTTGAGATATAAAAAATAACAAAACATTTAGTCTAGTTACAACAACTAAAACCTTTCATTTTGACTTCTAAACATAGATAGTTATCATTTTTAACCCAAAGTGCAAACTCTTTTCCATAGCACATGACTAATGAATCTTAGTTATAATTATAATGCCAACCAATTAAACTTTTGAATTATAAAAGATAAGTGCTGAGTGATTAGCGCTTTCGCTTGTCCGAGGGTTCTTTTGCATGTTCTTCCTGTGTCTATATAGGTTACCTCTGGTTGCTGTGGTTTCTCCTACTACTTTAAACATGTACAATAGGTTAAAATCCTCCAGCTCTGGTCCTGACAAAGCCTAACAAATTTCTCTACGGGGACAATAAAGTATAACTTATATGTCATTACTATAGACCACAAGGTACTAGACACTCGATGGTTGCTATGTTTTTCTGCAAGACACAGAACGCAATGTTTTACTAATAATCCAAATACTAGTGACATGTTAGTCCCATATGAACCGACCCAGACTCTGAGGAGCACAGGGACTGGACTCCAGCTGGTGTAGAGTCAGAACTAAACATGGGGAAGCACCATTTCAGATTCATGCAGCTAAAATCTGGAACAATCTTCCTGAAAGTGTGAGACAGGCCTCTTCTCTGACAATGTTTAAAACCAGGTTCTGTTCAGCTGTGCATACAACTGAGGTATTTTATGTTTTTGTTTTTATTTTGAATGTACTATTTTAATGCTATCTTATTTTGTTCAGCACTTTGAGTTGCCTTGTGTATGAATTGTGCAATACAAATACACTTGCCGTGCCTTGCCTTACAATTTAGGGCTGCATGATACTGTATATCAAAAAAATACCATTATCGCGATATTGGTGCGTGCAATATTGATATCGAAAAGATATCAAGATGCTTTTTCGATGATTGTATAACTTCAATCCGTCCAGATTGGGAAATGACGTGGTAGAACTTTGTGTGATGAAAAACCAGGGACTAGTTGGAATGAATAAATTAAAAGTCAAATTGGCTGCGAAAATTCAGCCTATCATGGCTGACTTCCTGTTGGTCCCAGAGTGAGGCCAAGAGAGAGTTTTATGCTCGTCTATCACTGTTCTGAGTTTCGTGTACCTACTCCAAAATATGCATACCTGGCTCTCATAGGTCTTGCAAAATTGAAATTTCCAGGGGGCGCTATCTTGTTGGCGTTTGTCAGACAATCTCGAAACTTTTTCATCAAATTTTTCCCCGAACCGGTCGTTTTAGACCACCCATGTTCAGACTTTTGTGCATGTCTTCAGGGTCAAAAATCGAATTCTTGCGGCGGTAAAAAAAAAAAAAAAGAAATATAAAATAATATGAAACCGGCGGCGAATAACAATCTAAAAATTAAAGACAACAAAACAGACAGACACATCACCATTCAACAAGAACAACAAACAGACATACAAAAAAGTATATAAAATTATGCATTTAAATGTCATTAATGTTGTGCTTATTTTTTGTTATTTGTCTCTTGCGTTTCAAAGCAGATTGCAATTTTATGTGACAGACAAAAATATCGCAATGATATTGTTATTGAAATGCTAAACACTCATATCAAATATTGCTCTAATTTACAATATTGTGCAGCCCTACTTACAATACTCTCCAAGAATGATTCACTGAATGCTGTTCTTACAGATTTTTTTGTTCTTTTTGTCTGTTTGTTGGATGCTATTCGTTGCTATTTCCCAGATTCATAAGCATAATAAAGCTAACACACCTGCTTTGGCTGATTGTATGGATCAAGAACATCTCTGTGGTAGTTGGTGGGCAGGAGCCTCATTCCTGTGTTTGCCAATAATCTAAGTTCTATCCTGTGGGCTGTGAGCGGACCAAAGCTGCAGAGTGGGAGCAGTGGTCTGTGCTTTTGCCTCGAGTGATGAATGTGTTTTTAACAGTCAGAGCAGCTGCATTCTCTTCCACCTAGAGTTGTTTTATGAAGGTTTAGCTTGTAAATGTATTCCTCTCACGTTCGTTGGTGTTGAGGTAAAGACACAGCAACTGTCTGAGTTCCTGGTATGACATTTTAAAGTCGATAAATATGTTTTGTTGCAATTTGTAGCAATTTGACCCCAGCAAAGCAGCAATATCCATAAAACACTGCATTTAAAGCTGGGGTAGATAACTTTCATGAATAACACATGTTGATTGTCCCAAAAGAAAGACTCAAATCAGACCACAACATGCTGTCATCTTTTTAATGTAGATTCAACATTTAATACTTTGCTCACCTCCAAGAAGGAGCTCTGTAAGTCACTCTTGGACGCTTTGGACTGAGACTCTTTTTCTAATCTAACCTAAAGATGCAACATAGGCCAAAATATACAAGCAAGTAAAAACTAATGATAGCACCAAACTGTTTTGAGAGCGAGGTGTTTTATTAGTCAGGAAACCAAGCTTTAATTATAAAGTGAAATAAAATATATATATATATGTATATATTCCTGTTTGTGTGGCATGTGGAATCTCTTCATTGTACAGACATTTTCAGGGAAATATATTTCTCGGTTGGCAAATTATACGTAATATTTTTGACAGTTTAAGATAACTTTTATGTTGTACCCTTCTTTCTGAAATGTGTACAAATATCTGGAGGTGTTTTCTAATTTATAAAATAGATACAGTCAGGTCCATAGGAGAAATATATTCTTATGTTCGGTGTTGGAATTACAACCATTTTTATGAGTCCCTCAAAAGTATTGGGACAACTGTCTATTATGTCCAAACTGACATTTGTCTGTACTGTAGAAGTACTATGTAGAAAGGAAATGAACTGTTCATGATCCAAAGCAATAAACTCATTAGTGAAACCTGGTGGTACTTTCAGGCTGTGCGAGTGTGTGGTTGACCATAGAACTGATCTGATCCCCTTGTATTCATTGATGATGTGATAAAAAATAAGCTGCTGGATGAATTCTGAAATGATTCAGGTGATATTATTTGCCCATGTGCTTCAAAACTCATATTTTTAAAAGTAGGCTCAAGACACACTTTTTTAGATAAGCTTTTAATTAGTTTTTATTATTCCATTCTATTTATATTTTATTATTTATTATTTATTATATTGCTATTATTCATGTATTGTGTGTTCCTTTTAGTCTCACATTTTAGTGTTTTACTTATTGTATTGTTTTTAGTGTACCCAGTGTTTCCTCTGGAGGAGCCCTCTGCACCGGGAGCAGTGGTCGGTGTGGCTGCGGGGGTCGGACTCTTGGGCCTGGTGGGGGCCTGGGGCCTCGGTTTCATGTCTCCTCTGGGTCCTGTGTTGTCCCCTGTGGCTACGGGCGGCTCTCTGCTCCAGGTGCAGACGGCTCCTTGGATGACGCTTTTTCAGCTGGTTGCATCTGAACCCTGCCAAGTCTCTAATCATGGTTTTATTGTTTTACTGGTGTGTGTGTGTGTGTGTGTGTGTGTGTGTGTGTGTGTGTATATGAGTGTTCATGAGCGCGTGTGTGTGTTTGTCTGTGGTTTGGGGTAGGGTCTGTTGGGTGGTCTGGGGGAGGGGTCTTGGGTGGGCGGGATTGTTTTTAACCAAACTGTAAAGCACTTTGTGTTGCATCTTATGTATGAAAAGCGCTTTATAAATAAAATTTGATTGATTGATTGAATTTGAGAAGGCACCCAAAGGGCAGATGGACAATGACCTAAAGCACACAGAAGTACAAAGTTATGCAATGAGCCATTCATTCACATAATCTGAATCCCATTGAACAAACATTTACTTTACTGATGACAAAACTGAAGGGAAAACTTTTTGAAATAAAAGAATGGAGGAGCATGACCATGGATGAAACACCGAATGTACTGTAGTGTCATCCAACTTCAGCTCTACCAATGCTACCTCTTTGTAAAGATCAGAACTTCTAGATGTCAGTTGTTTACTTTATTAGTATAGTATATTTATTGTTGATCCATATATGGCGCTAATGTTACTGTGGTGCGATAGTTCATGCTAGAACAGCCCAAATTCAGTCAAAACAGTTTTTAAATCTGTTGTCGGCCCCTGGTCAAGTCTGAACTAAAGTGGCCGTCTTACTAAAACGTTTGACACCCCTGACCTTGTGAAAGATTTGCAACCAAGCAGTAAAATGTGAAGTTTGTCTCTTTACTTTTACTATCCACTGGCCAAGATCAAAATTTGACGTACTCTGTTTGAATAGTTATAACAGATAAAAATGCTCGTCAATAATTGCCTTCACCTAGCCCTTAACCATGTGTGAAAACAACACATATACACATTTTTGAGGGGCATGTGAATAAACTAGACTGTAAGCGCTCACTACATTTATAAAACATATTTTCATCACTGTATTTTGAGATATTGCTTATTCTGCTTATTTTCTCAACTTTTCATCCCCTCATATTACTCCAGCTCCTATTCACAGTTGCAGGATATTAGAATTGTGAATGAATGGGAGAGTGACTCACACTGGCCATTGTCCAGGGTATACCCCGCCTTTGCACCAGATTGGATGGATACGATCAGCCATCTGTGACCCCTGCAGAAGGTGATGATGCAAATTGCTACTCCAAAAAATAGGGAAAAAACAAGGATTGTGCCATTTACTTTTTTTTGTTAGAATAAAACTGATAATCAAAAAACAACAGTGAGTCATGTCTTTCAGCTAACAATGAAAAAAACCCTTAATAAATGGCAAACATCTTGCTAGTTAATATTGTAGGCAGTGATTTTGGATTGCTGTAAGTATGAGAGCATCAGTGGAGGTAGGTGTGTGGGATGACGACCTGCTGTAGGTGTGAGCTAGAAGAGTGAGAATAGAAATGACTGATACAGACAGTAGTAACCAGTCGCCTCTCAGACGA